AAAAAATGAACTTAAATGATTTTAGCATATGGCTGCAATATAACAAAGAGTGAAAAATTTAAGGGGGTCTGAATACTTTCCGTACCCACTGTAACTGCATCTTTAGTTCCATGGAACAGTCAACTCTAAAGTTTGTCATTCCATGATGTTCGTGACTGCAGCTTTGCTGAAATCGTTAGTTTTGCATTGTGGTGTCTGGTGGAAACCTCAGCAGTCCTGTCAATGCCCTAAAGCTAAGGCAGATTGAATTACTGCCACCTGCTGGTTTTAGTGCCAGTTACTTCTGACGTTCTTAGTGCAAAACGTCGACACACAATCCTCAGTAAAATGGTGAACTTTTGGGTTTTTTTTTTTTTTTTTTTTGTCAAATTAAATGAGATTTCACATGTTAGTGTTACAGGTGCAGGTAGTCAGATTGTGTTGTGTTTGGAGAGGGTCTCGCTGTTTCCAGTCTTTATGCTAAGCTAAGCAAAACAGCTAGTAGCTTTATATTTAGCATCCCTAACTAACTAGTCTTCGGGTGGTGGGAGATTCTTTTATCTTTGCTTTGAGTTGTGTTTCAGTTTCTCACTCTTCAGGACAATAACAGATTAACTGTCAAAGCTCCAATGTCTTCCTTCCTTATTAAGGATGTCTGGACTCAAATCAAAGTTTAGGACTGATCTCCCAAAGTCATTCCTCTAGCGTACAAGTCTAGCTGCAGTATATGTAAATACAGCAGAGCATGACTGACAGTGTCTGACTCGAGGCCATGTACATGTTACCATTACACATATATAGCACACCCACTCAGTACAAGAAGAATATAATGATAATATTAATAACACTATACGGTAACTTCGCTAACACCCCCTTCCCCCCTGCTTGCAGGTGCCTCCCATCATGTCGCCCAGCCCTCCGATAGCCTCATCCGTTTTATTGAGGGGCTGTGGTGCTCATCCTGACCAGACAGAGGCCGGAGAAGGAAGCTGTCGTTTCTGTGATGATCCTCACGCTCCTCACTGCCGTCGTATGAACTCCCACAGCTAGACACGCTGTCACCGGGGGAGCGGCCCTGTTCGCTGGGGCCCCGGCCAGATGCGGAGTATCCAGCTGTGGTCACACCTCCTCCAAGTCCCGTGCCAACCATGCCAATGCCACGGTCTCTTGGAGGAGAGGCCGGCTCTGACTTGATTTGCAGATTCTGATGAGCAGAGGTGAGGTTTAGGTTTGAGTTCTGACACATGTTCCTGTAAGAGAAGAGAGTGGGGCCGTCAGTGTATGTTAATTCACACTGAGCCCTGCTTGGTGACTGTTCCACTGAAGTTTATTTAAACAGCACTTATGAAAGAAAAGCACTACTACTTTCTACACTTCTGGGAACAGAAAGAAGCAGCAGCGCCAAGACTGAAAAGTGGCTGATGGGAGTTTGTTCCAGTGGTGCATGCTGATTCCAAATGGTAGGTGACTCTTTTCCCATGACATGCTGTATTCTCACTGGAGATGCTACTTAACACTGGTCTAGTCTCTGTCCCGGATTAGCACGGAAACGTGTGGCTGCACTGGGTGACCCACATATGTTAAAAATGTTGCCCCAAAAGCTCCAAACCAAGTTTTTACAGAGTCTGAAGCAGCACGACTCAACTGTACGTCAGAGTTTTTGGGGCAACATTTGTAACATAGTTTGGTCGCCCAGTGCAGCCGTGTGCGTCTATGGCGCAGACGAAGAACATAATCCAGGACTGACAGACTAGCAGTGAGTAGATGTACGTTTTCGTCTCTGTATGGGGCGTGTTGAAGATGACCGCCCTTATCCGTTAACATCCAGCTGTGTCACCTTACTTCAGGAAGAAATGCGCTAAGATGTAGTCAACATCTTTTCCGTCTTTATGCCATGTTGTATTGTTTTCTATGGACATGCACTGCTTTCACCAAAGGAAAAAGGATCTTGTCTTGGAATTATGACTTGCAAAGGTTGGAGCGCTGCAGAAGTTGCCTGAAAATCATCAGGTTTTAAGGAGTTCTTTAGTATCAAAGTAATTCAGTGATAGTTGTCAGTACATCCCATAGTGAATAGCAAAACTGAACTGTTAACAGCTATTTTGGTGTATTTAATGTTCCACAGCATAAACAAATATAGACTACAAATGGGCCTCAATGGTGCCACCTACAGTGTAACACGCCATCTACATGCAGTGAGCAGCAGCTGGGAAGCTTCAGAACCTTAGGTTTTTAAAATTTCTTCAATATTAACATAATTCTGTCAGTACATACAACAACACATAGCAAGAATAAACTGCTAATTCCATACACTTAGTTTTCCAAAACATAAAACAAGTGTAGGCTAAACCAGCGCCCCATATCTCTGGCACTATTATTGGTGTTTCTTATACAGGTTGATCTGTTCTGGTGACTGTCTTCTTAAATAGCTATTATAACCCATTACAAGAAACAGGAGGTAGGCTTTAGGCCACGTAATGTCGGCTAAATCTGGTTGTTTTGCCACATTAGCTATAAGCAGTTAATTTTGCTACGTTCTGTTGGATGAGCCGTCAGAATAACAAATACTGAAGAAACCTTAAAATCCAAATGTTTCTCAAGCAGGTTCTGAAACTTTCCACCTCCTGCTCAGTACAGGTAATGAATTAGCTGTTAACAGTTTACTTTTAATATGCATCATCGATGTGGACAGCTTTCACTGAAGAATTAATTAAAAGCTGATGATTTTCAGGTAGGCTCTGCAGCGCTCCAACTCAAATACAACAAAATCCTCCAGTTTTTCTCCTTCGGTGAATGCAATGCGCTTCCATAGTTTTCTACTCATTTAAATTATTTATGTAGAGAAATATTTTTAATTCCAGCTGCTCACCCCATGTGTCCGAGTGCCGAGTGCTGTAGATTCTGCTGCTGCCAGCTCACAGATCCAAGACCGGACCCTCCAAACCCGGACAGAGGGGACAAGTCGGTGCCAAGCGAGAACTCTGAGGAAAACACACCCAGAACATCCTCATCATTAACCTGACCCTACGTGAGGAAGCCTCCTGCCTTTCACCGGCCTACAGCGGAGTAGTATTCACCTGTGCCATAAGAAGAGGAGAGCGTAGCCGGATACCCGCCCATTCCCTGCCCAATGGAGACCGCAGGAGTCGACAGTGTCTGAGCCGTCTGAGAGTGATTTATCCTCTGGTTCTGAAAAGAAAAGGGAACCATTAGACTTCACACATACTGATACTGTGGCACTGAAACAGAAACTAACCAGAGAAAAGAGCGACTGGTTTCAGACTGAACCAACAAACTGTTACTGATCAGACAAAGAGCAGCTTCATATTTCTGAGATAGTCCTGGGCTGCAAAAGGAGAGGAGGCCTTGTGCGGTAATCTAACAACTCAGGGTGCGCTTAAAGATAAGATGCCACAAAGCTCTTCAGGCACTCTAAGGCGGAGTAAAGAGTGTGTTTAAAAACCTTTAATCAGGCATTAATCTAAAAATGTCGACTGACTTCGACCTCATCAGGTCTTCATCAGTTGTTTTGTTTCTGCCCTGATGAATAAAGCAGTGTTTTGTTTTTAACTGAGATGCCTGATTAAATAAAGGCTTTTAAACACTCTTTGCTCCTCCAGTCAAAGCTACCTACTGGAGTCTACTGTCACTCTTTACCTTTTAGGGCAACTTTGGTTTCACTTGTTCTGACTAAAAGGACTTCACTTGAACCTAGATTTGAGCAAAGTATTTTGATTCTGTACAACTTCTCCTCCAGCTCATTTCAAAGAGAACTGTTGCACCTTTTGTCCAGTTATACTTCTCTGACAGCTGCTGTGAGTAAAATGGCTTGAATCAGCTCCAACAACTAGGAGTCTTCCTTGTAGACTAAATACATTCTTTGGCCGTCATGCTCCTTCCTGTGGCACAGCATTTGTTTTGCACTTTGTGATCTGATGTAATGTAAGAGCTACTTACCAACATGAGGTCAAAGTCCTCACACTGGAGGCAGCATTAAAGCAGACAAAATCAGTCTCTGCATTATCAAGGACTCCTCAGGGATATCAAAACTAAACTGATAGTGTAACAAAAACAAAAGCACTCACAATGGCTGGCATGTTGCTGCACTTATTGGAGGGGGGCATCAGTGTCCGGAGGTCAGGCTTACGGTTCATGCTCATGGAGAGGGGACTCTTCTCCTGCATGTTTTTGGAGACTCCCTCTGGAGACAGAAGCCCGGGGGAGGAGCAGTGGCCGCTGTAGCTGCCATTTCCTAGGTAGAAACAGAAAGAGGAGGTTTGTACAGTTCACTACGCAGGCTGTCTTCATGTAGGAGCAGCTACATGACACATCCACCATCTGGAGTTGGATTAAAGCATCTGATTCAGGGTTTCATTTATGAATTTCAATCTGCCTTTATATTTTTTATGTATGGGTTATTTTAGTAATCTCACTTCACCACTCTCCTTTTCATTTAAGAAGCTGGAACCACAGATTGATTAGCATTTTGGTTTGGAAGATGACATGTTTACAAAAATAGTAAATCGGTTACTGATGAAATCAGGGTCTAACCTCTGAACTGTGATCACGGTGGTGCTGCTCTCATGACTTGGTGCCTCCTGAATTGTGGATTTGTAATTAGGGCTACAACTAATGATTATTTTTGATTGTATAATGCACAAACTGTCAGCTGTTTTTAACAGTAATATTTGTATTCAAAATGTATTTCTGTAATGTACGACTACAGGTCGCTGCTGTTCACTGTCCCGTAGAATTATAATAAAGTTGAAAAAGCTGAGGCTGTTCTTTTTTTTACTTCCCTTTATAAATATCAAGATAAAACTCTGATTAAAAACACGTTTAACCGGTGAAGAATCTAAAGTTCTATTCTTACCCACACTGGAGACCATGGTGCTCGGCAGCTCTGAACCCATCAGACCTGCAGACACACAGGAAACACAAGGTCAGATCCACAGGCCAAACGCTGGGGCCACACAGATGGAAACGTGTTTTCATCTAGACTCACCTGCATTTCCAGTGCTGGAGGGTCGCTGAGGGGACATACTGTTTCTCTGCAGTGAAGGGTGTGTGTGTGAGATCGGCAGCAGGTTGCGGTTACCCAGGCTGCCTCCTAGGCCAGGGTGGGAGTACATCAGTCCACTGGGACTATTGCCAGGGACGGGCACTCCCATATCGTAGCTGGAGGGGGGCAGACCCTGCTGGACAATTCAGAAGGAGCCTGTCAGTTGGACGGTCACTGAGCAGAGCACCTGAAACTGCTGAGCTGATGTGAACTTACACAGATTCTTTGTCTGTTGATCATCAGGTCAATGTCTTCGTTGATTTTGCGGTATTTTTCGTCGGACTCTGGGCTCTGGCCAGCAGAGTCGTCAGCCTCGATGTCAGGGCTGTCGCAGCCGTTTAAACCTTTCTTACGCAGCGTCTGGTTAGAAGGAGGAAACAGACATGTAAACACGTTAGTAAAACTTTTACCCGTGTGCTTTGTTGATGTTAACTGAGAAATAAGGTGAACGAATAATATTTTTGAAAGCATCCTTACTTTACAGCATTTTAAAGCTTTTGCACCAGAATATATTTCTTCAAACAGTAGGCACAATCGCTGTGTTACTCTCTCTCCACTACAGCTCAGTGAGGAGACGCTGACTGACACAAACAGGGGATTTTACACTAGTGAAACAGAACGAGTGCGACCAAGACATTATGAGTCCTCAAAGATGAACTAAATGTATTGTGAGATTAATGCAGTGACTGAAGACGGGCCTCGTTAGCCGACTGATGCACCATCAAAAAGCTCTGGGTCCATAAAAATAGGTTTCATACCTTTGCTGCATAGAAAAATAATCTTTTGGTCACAAAGTGTAAAAAGGACGTCACAGCGCTCAGACTGAGTAGTGGTCAAAAAAATAAATAAAAATACTTCGACCGACTCTCATGCTCCTCATCTATGAAAGCCACCGCCTATACCCATGTGACCTAACTCAATCACCATGACAACAACAATAAAACATCTCAACATTACCATAAAACACTCATGGCTCCTACAATTAACTTTAAATTCTAGTTTAAAGGATGGCTTCACAAAAAAGGCTGCTGTGCCTATTTTAACCACTAGAGAGCGCCATCGGAGCAGATATCCCATCAACCAGCACACCATCATCATCATCATCATCATCATCATCATTACCCTGCTCTGCCTGAGTCAAAAACCAGTAAGCTTCATTTCACTGTTGTGAACTGTCTCATGCAGGTATCAGATGAAGAAGAAGGGTGATGATGGCGGTGTGTTTATGTGTGTTCTGTACAGCATGTGGTTTGGCTCTTCACAGCCCATTAGCCCGGCATGTCACCGGACAACTACAACACACACACACACGCACACACACACACAGGGCTCAGTGGTTGCCCAGTGCAGATATCCCACTCATCCCAGTCATGTCCACCTGTTTAGCTTTAGAGAGAAGAGGATGCGGGGTCTGTGGCGAGAGGAGGGGGAGGCAGCTACCACCAATGCCAGCGTGGCTACGGGAGGGATGGCCGTAGAAGGCTATTTTTTACTCCTGTGTTTCTCCCATCCCTCCCTCACAGTCTGTCAATCTGGCTTGTCTATTAAAACCTAAAACCAAGTGCTCCGGCCTACTTTCCCCTCCACACATACACACCCCCAACGAGAAGTCACTACCGTGCACCCACTCCTTCCTCCTCCAACAGAGCCCAGCTAACCTCGGTGCAGCCAGCGAGCGCTAGAACAAATACTGAGACCATTTGTTTTAGGAAAAGCAAGAACACCATGATGTAAAAATTTCTCCTTAGTTATGAAATCCCTGAATTTCACATTTGACTTAAAGTAGAGAATCGTTATCAGATTAATATACTTAAAGTATCAGCAGTAAAAGTACTCGCTCTGTAGCAACATGTCTCCTGTCACTGAATCTTATTATGAGTTTGTTAATACTAATAGCATCAACGCTACTACTTTATACAGTAGCAACACACTGTAAAATACTCCATTACAAGTAAAAGTCCTGCATTCAGAACTTTACTCAAGGGCAACGGCCTGTTTAGAGCTAAAATGACTAAATTACGAATATTTTCTCAGATGTTTGGTTTATGAAATGTCAAGAATCCTGAAAAGGTGACGGTTTGTCAGAGCTACTATCACAGATGACCCCACTACACAACAAGAGGCAGATGAATGGTTAATCAAACTAGTAGCAAAGTACTTTTCTGCTAATTGACAAATCAGTTAATTGAGCAGCGGTTTCAGCTGTGGGTTGGTTGGTTAACTGATAAACAAAAAAGTCATCTGACAACTATGGAGTATTTTAATAAGCAAAAGGAGACGTGTGAATAACTGCCTAGCCTTAGCACTGATGGAAAGTACCCAAGTACATGAACAAAAGTACTACACTCTAGTACAATTTTCTGTTTATACTACTTCATATTTCTGCACTCGTACATTTTTACTGCACCACACTTGCAGTAAACCACCACATTTAGTTAGTGTGGTATGTTTACACAGAGCCTTCGCTGTCGAATCAATGTACTAGAGCAAGAAGTACAATAGTTTCCTCATAAACTTAACAGAGTAGAGGTGTAAAGTAACATAAAATGAAAGTATGACTTAAGTCCAGTCCTTGTGTAAATATTCTTACTCACTTTCCACCACTGACCAGGAATGTGTGTGTGGTGGCAGGTGGTTTAAGCAGCTTCCTGGAGGCGCTCCAGACTGAGAGGGAGGCAGCTGAGGAGGGAGGGGGTTAGACCCCCCCCTTTGCTTTTCTTGTCCATCAGTTGTGTTTTGTCTTTTCTCAGTTCAGCTCCTTCTACTGCTCTCCTTGTGCCGTGGGTGGTCTCCTCCTCCTCCTCCTCCTCCTCTTCACAGCTGATGATGCTACCGGTATGTGTGTGCACGCACACTCTGAAGTGTGTGCTAAGAAACACGACATGCAGCCTTTACACATCCCACTGCCGCCGCTCAGGCAGCAGATGGAACTTTTGTCCAAAATTAGAAAAACACATATTTCCTCCACTGACGTGTGAGATAGATGTAACAAATAAGGACTGCACTTTTCCCTAGACGCTCCCGATTCACGTTTAGAATCATGTGAATTGGTTGGAATTATAGGGACATAAAGACAATGATCTAAGGCGATTACTTGTGTTTAATTAATAAGAACTTTACACATTTTCAGATGTAGACCTAGATGATACACCAAGACTCACGGTAACAGTACGGATCCATTTTCCAGCTACTTTCCTGAAGTCTTTCCTCATAATTTCCTTAAAAAAAACTGATTACTAATATCTCCATCAGTAGCTAAGTGAAAAAGAAGTCTGCTATAGTTTCTAAAAAAAACAAATAACCTGGATTGTTCACGACTTTGAACTGCGTATCAGTTTAACTGGTCTGGTTTAGACTTTCAAACTCCATGTTGTGAGACTTTACCGACTCAGCAGAGTGTAGCTAATACACTGTATTAGCAATGTATGTAAATACAGTTGTGAAGTTCTTGTACTTGAGTATTACCCATTTTATGCTACTTACTGCTCCTACTCCACTACATTTATCTGACAAATAGTCACTTTTAAGATTAAAGAAATAAATTAAAACGAGATAAGTTTATAAATTCAACAGGTTAAAGATGAAACCCATAGTTTCCAACCTTTCTGCCTTGTCATCCTAAGGTTTCAGATGTCTGAGTGGATTTCCCCAAAAACTTTACACATCATTTACAACTTTGCATATTTAATTTCATGTATTTGAGGCTCAAAGAACTACAAATCTTTAAGAGAACCTTTTAAGAGAAAGGCAAGAAGTAATTTCTTTCCTCTTGTTTCATGGGGTGATTATTTTTATGACCTCTCAGATTTATCTGGTGACCCTTTGGAGGGGCCTGAACCCTAGGTTGGGAATCACTGGACTTACTCTATATAAAATAACTAAAACCAGCTCCAACAGCAAAATTTAACTATCAATATATCAGCAGAAAGGGCAGATTCTCTGCAAAACAAGTACTACAAGTACTGCATGCAGCTGATTATACTTGTAGGATTTTAAATACCAGACTGTTTTTTACTTAATGAAGGATCTGAAAACTTCAAACTGTGTTTTCTGGCATTACTGCAGGGGACACTACCAAAAGATCAGCAGAATCATAGCTACAGTCCATAAATTATGACATATACCAGTAACTTTTGCCTTGACACAAAGTGGACTGGGTCAGAAGAGAAAAGGGAAGGAGGGAAGAGGAGGCGGCTGTGGGGAACTGAGACCTGGTTGCTTGGCCTCAAGTCGCTTCTCTTCGTCTTCATTTTCCTCCCTTGGCTCACATAGCCATACGTACACACTCAGTCATTCACAGCGAACCACAGTCACACACACACACACACGCCCATCATGGCTATTCTTAGCCATGTTCCGGGCTATTTTTAGACCACTACCAGTTTCCAGCCATTTAGCAGGGAGGGATCTGAGCCAACACAAAGGAACTGGACTTGGTCTGCGAGCATATGTGAGCCTCAGCGTGTGTCAGCTTTAGTGAAAACTTCATCTGTTTCCAATCTGAAACGGCTCGGAGCCACAGTTAAACACACACACACACACACACACGCACACGCACACGCACACACACACACACCACAGAGCAGCCCAAAGCAAACCAAGGTTAGAGGAGTAAAAGTGAGGAATGTAGAGCTCCTCAGATTTATAAATAGCAGCAAGGTTCCCAGGCTCAGTGAACACAATACAATAAACAGAGATATCTGGCCCGTAGCCTGTGCACGCACACGCACATGCACACCATCCTGCCATATGAGGGTGGGGGGGGGAAGACGACAAAAACAAAGGAGCCTCTCTTCTCCTAAATTCCCGTCTAGGAGACATCTCATGCCACGAGGGTCTACTGTCACACAGCTCTCACCCTCCTTTTCCTCTGCTAAGGGCATCAAAGTATTCTATTAATCCGTTAGTTGGCTGACAGAAAATTACACCACTGGTCAAAAGTTTAAGATCGCCCCTCATTTTTCTAGTTTTTATTGACACACAACCAGTGAATGACCTTTAATGGTCCAAAGCTAAGAAGTAAACTGAGGTAAAGCAAATAAATGTGTGTAAATGTCATATAAACAAGTCCTTTTCCAGGGTCCAGTAACAGGGGAACGTCTGTCTTTCCTGTAGCTGTGAAGTAAAAGAAGCCTTGAAAACTGATGCAACAGTTCCTACAGGTTCAAGGCCATGAAAAAGGCCATGAACCCAGGAAGTCAGAGCTTCTCAGGGTTTCACCCTGTAGCAGTAGAAGGAGCCACAAACAGCTCCAGGCTGTGGATGAGGAAAGAACCAGACGGTCAGCTTCACGTGATGGAACGGCAGCACAGGGTCCAGACTTTCCAGGTGAAGAGTGAAAGCAAAGCAGCTGACAGGTGCAACACGTCTGTGGGAACATCTGCTGTGGTGCTGTCTGTCCCAGCAGTGTTTGGTTTCAGTTGGAGAGACAATGACAAAGGGTGTGTTCACCTGTTGGATCCCACTGGTAACAACTGGGAACACGGAGGTGACCTAAAACTATTGACCAGCAGTGGAGATGCAGCAAATTTCTTGATAATCAATAACTCATTTAAGTAATTTTACAAGCTAAAATTCCACACATTGATCACATAGTGAATATTTGGGGCTTGGCTTTCTGGTCAGAAGAACAAGACATCACCTTGGGCTCTGAGAAGTTGTGATGGACATTTTTTCCACCATAATCACTTTTCCTCACTGCTCCAGTCTCTAACCCATACAGCATAGCTGGTCTCACTACTGTCTTGTACCCCTTTCCTTTGATTCTTGCTGACACTCTTCTGTCACACAACACTCCTGACACCTTTCTCCACCCACTCCAACCTGCCTGCACTCGCCTCTTCACCTCTTTCCTACTCTCCCCATCACACTGGTCCGTTGACCCCAAATACTTAAACTCCTGCTCCTTCTTGACCTCAGCCCCCTGTAACCTCACTGTTCCACTTCCCTCCCTCTCGTTCATACACATGTATTCTGTCTTACTACGACTGACTTTCATTCCTCTTCTTTCCAGAGTAGACCTCCACCTTTCCAGGTGTTCCTCCACCTGCTCTCTGCTCTCACTACAGATCACAATGTCATCCACAAACCTCACTGTCCACGGAGATTCCTGTCTGACCTCATCTGTCAACCTGTCCATCACCATAGCAAACAAGAAGGGACTCAAAGCCGATCCTTGATGTAGCCCCCCCTCCACCTTAAACTCCTCTGTCTGACCTACAGCACATCTCACTACTGTCGTACTCCTCTCATACATATCCTGAACTACTCTGACGTACTTCTCTGCCACTCCTGACATCCTCATACAGTACCATAGCTCCTCTCTCGGCACTCTGTTGTACACTTTCTCTAAAGCCACAAAGACGCGATGCAGCTCCTTCTGACCATCTCTATACTTCTCTGAAGCAGCTCCATCATAAAAATAACCAACCAATTAATCAGTACTGAAACTACCTAAGTTGTAGTCCTAGCTGTGACTGATTAGCTCTGCCATGTTCCCAGCTTGCTAACACGGTACCAGTTAACTCCCCACTCATTATTTTACCAAGCGTCGAGCACAGCATATTTCATGAAGATGAATTTTGTGCTTCACGTTCTGTTGTGACCACACCTTAAAAGAAACTGCGTGTGGTTTTAGGAGTTGCACACACATGCTATTCCAATCTGTGTTCATGCATTATTGTGAGCTGGTTAGCCTTGTGCTGCACCTGTAGTCACAACAGGTAAACAGCCTATATGGCCTTTGTTGTGTTTGTAGCAGTTTGTTGCCACATGAAACATATACAGAGTATAACTTCTATAAAATTAGCTGAACTGACAGGATTTGATTTCGATGCAGGGCCTTTGGTGCATTTTGTCCACAGTTTGTTGACATCTGGAGATCTCACTGTTGCTGTCAGAAATTCGAAACATCTAAGTTGCAAGCCGAAG